TCTCATAGGAGGTATAAAAGGGTAGTATCTGTAAAAGGAAGAGAATAATTGTACGCGCTGTGGCGACAAACGGATCCTTATCAATTGTCCCTTATTGAAAGCTGGCTGATGTTCAGTGAACCCCCTTGTAACGGGGCAACATTGCAATGGTGCAGTGTGTAAATTAGACCAGTCAGAAATGATTGCTCTCTTGGCTTCCAACAGATTATTTCAGGAGGTGCTCAGCGTGTATCTTCGCACGTACTCGGACAGTCCAGTTGCCCTTAATCTCAAAGCCTGCATCACCTTCAAAACCTACAACGGGAAAGCAGCACTGGTGCGTGAATGCTTCAATATCCACGCGCGAGCAAAATTTTATAGTTTTTTATTGTTTATACATAACCTGAAGCTGGTCAGTCTCCTAGTCTTTTGTCAGGAGGTCATGATGTTTTTCCAGCCAGAAGTTGAAGTACTACAGCGAGTCAACCTATACCCGGCAGCTCGCGAACTTCTTCGCCACAATCAGGTTCACTATATTCAAAACTGTCTTGATTTTGGTGACGCTTCTTCTGGTAATATTTATGCGAATAAGCATTCAGGTGGTGTTTCGCGATGGTGATGGAGCATTGCAGGTGTTCCCCGGTTTAATGGACACATTACCAGAGGCGAGGGTGAATCTGATACTCTATCACCTAAAAAGGGGTATGTGACAGCACTGTTATCTTCACAAAACGCTTTTATTCTTTGGCGACTGAAGTACAGTTTGTTTATATTGTGGTATTACTGCTACTCTTTTCAGAAGACATAGAAAGTGCCATGACATTATGTAACGACCTGGAACCACAATCAACTACGGAGTTCCTTGTGAAAGCTGTGGTTTTCGCTTACTGGGGACAACAAAAGGAGTCTGTAAGTGTGCCGCTGTCGTATTCGGTGGTGTTGCACTCACTGTGTCCTCGTTCGTTGCAGAAAGATCACTTGAAGACCGCCGAACAGTTCTTCAAAATGGTAGGAGAATCTCCATACGATGCAGGTAACTTGTAGTGTACGATTACTGTATTGCGTCACAATTCTGGAAAGATTTGACATCGAGATATGAATCAGTGCCAGAAACTTCTGATGAGCGGTAGGAGGAAAGCTTGGCACAAGCAACTAAAGGGACATTTCGTGATAAGCTGTCCGTGGAAATTTCACAGTGAGGGGGTTGGAATGCAAATGTGTACAGGGGGGGGGGCAAAAAAGTCACTTCGACCGAGTCACATATCAGCAAAGTTTTTGCAGCCCAGACAGAGGACGTGGATACGAGTACCAGGGAAAAGATACCCAAGATGTTCTTCTATGAGCAGGAGCTGGCGCCATCACCTTCATGTACACCAAAATATGAAGTCATCTCCAGTCGCAGCCTGACTGGGGCCTTAGGAATTCATGTCACCTCCAAACAGCTGCGAAACTTCTAGTGTGGAGTCACCCATGGGTAGCTACCTGGAGACCAGTACTCTCGATCTGGAAGACCTCCAACATCGAGCAGCTCCGACAACGTCGCTACCAGGATATCATCTTCACCGCAGTCGCCAAGGCGCGCGTTGGTGGTAAGGACTGGAACTGTCCTAGGCTATGGGGAAAACTGATATTCTTCTCGGGGACCCCCGGCTAAACGTGATTGCTGAACGGTTACATCGATATTCGAGCCAGAAGATCTGCCTTCATGCGTACGTCCGCACCTGAAATTCGTATACTGCTACAGGAATTGGGTCCACCACATGGAATCGAGGGCGTTTGAATAACTCTCGTCTACGTTGGAATGAGAAGGTCGTTTGCAGTACCTGAGAGATGGAATATTCAAGCAGGTCACCTGAACCAAACCCCCTCCGTTTACCTGGTTCGGGCGGAGTTCAACTGGGTGGTCTACAGTGGCGGAGAAATCAACGATCTTGCTGAACTCAGGCACCCACTTGACGGTCGCGTGGCAGAATCTCTCGATGGCGCTTTCCTCCGGGGGGGGGAGGCTGTGGTGGAGTATCATGATAGTATTTAATATGCTCTTTGATATGGTGGTAGAAATGTCGATCAGATATCAATAAAGTGTAACTTATAACGCCTCGAAAGTCAAGGAAGAAAAAGTGTCTTTTTTTGGCCCCCCCTGTATGTGCGCGGCTCGACTCACCTGAAAGATAAGAGCAGGCGATACGGTCGAAAACGCCCTGAACACGCTTTTCCTATCTGGATCCAAATGCGAAGGTTTGTTGGAATCACCAATGAAAGACCAAGCATAAAAGGCGAAATAGCATAGAAATGAGCAGATCGAATGACTCCAACGGAGTCACTTGTGCTTTGACGGAGTGCGGGTTGAGATAATACCTTCCTCACAACTTGTCTCGCAATGTTCGCACGAGCTTAGTCATTGTGGACCGAGATATCTTTCCCCCACACAGATTTCTCCCATTCTCATACATAATCGCAAAAGGTGGCTTCGAGTAAGATGGATAGTGTAGCGTCAGACAGCTGTTTTGACGCATTCAGCCGATACATCCGCTAGACAATCTAGCTGAGCTTGTGGTGACAATTTCCCCGTATATTTAGTTGCAGGTATTGGGGACCTTCGTCTACTAGTGGCCACTTTCAGGCAGTGTCGCATTGAGTTTTCATTCGCTTGAAGACAAACTGCTCACTCACTTCCGCGGATCCTGGTCCTTGCTTGAGTGCGGTAGTAGTGTGCCACTTTCTGCACCGGAACGTGGAGTGCATTCCGCCCGCGCTACCACACAGCAAGCCACACGCCTAACCATAACCGAACGCGCCACCAGTCCACTGCACCCTCTCATTTCCGGTTGTTCTCTTGTGCTGAAGATAGCGCCGGTGGAGACGCGAGTAGTGCCTAGTATCGTTACTCTCCAATCTCGTTTTTGTGCACTTTTGACCGGAGAAAGTGGCACACTAGTGTTACGACCCTGGAACTCGTCACACATCATAAGGGATAGGTCATGTTACGGAGGTGAGTACGCATTTACTTCGAAGGAACATTGCGGGATTACTTGGTTGGTAGGGTTTTCTTTCCAGTTACAATAACCAGCGGTGCAGCCGCGCATAGTGAATCAAGTCGCCACTCGAAAGCCCTGAAGCTTGTGACCAACTCAGGCCGCAGCCTCTTCTGGTATGGTTACATCAATGAATATCCAATGAAATCTCCTTGCGCAAGCGCGAACTCTACCGCAAATGGTGTTAGGTCCACGTCTCTGGCGTCTTCTTATGCTCATCAAAGGCTCACATCGCAACCTCGTTCAAGTGTTTTTTGACGATCTCCCAGCTTTATTCGTTACTGATAGTCGATTAGCCACCCGCACCTCAAATTTTGGTTCCACCGTCCACGGCTTGCAGCTACGGAATGTTGTATTCAGGTCGGAATAAAATAAGAGAATGTGATGTGTTTAGCAGGGTAGCCCATTTTTCTACTGATAGCTGCCTTGCGTTTATAGTTGAATTGCTCGAAGCGAAAACACGACCCTCTTATTTGAAGTAAGAGTTGAAGTAAGCTTCAGTCGTTTAGACACGATTCCTGGACGGCAAAGTATGGCTTGTTCGCTGTTTCTGAGTGGGCAGTACGAGGACGCGTTGGTCTATTTGAACTCGATCAGGTGTGCCGCTTGACGTCACCTCTTTGGTGTAGACCAAAACGTCTACAGTTATTTGAGCTTTCATCAACCTCTTCCTTTTAGCCTTACCATCATAACGATGACGTGTTCTCGTTCAACATCGCTCAGACAGAAATGCAATGTGGCTTGTGGAAGGAGGCTGAGGAACATTTTCTGGCGATCACAGGACCTGATCGTGACAAACCTACGTACAAGTACATGCTAACTAAGACCTGTACGTATTTTTATTCAGGTTGTGTATGCTCAAGACAACACGAGATTCTCTCCTCTTTTGCATTGTAGTAGGGAACGAGAACGTAATTTATGGAAGCAGTAGTCCACAAACAAGGACATAAGCTTGCGTTCTCCCGCCAAACATAAAAGAGAATTTTGTCTTTCTGAAATTTTGACTTTGAATTTGAATACAGGAATGCTAACGGTACCAACTTGAAATAGGAGGGTAGTCGAAAGTCCTACGGCACTTCCAACAAACTGTTTTAGAAAAATCAATGTACATTTCAACGTTTTGGCGGCCGATTGTTGTAAAGTGTTCCGGAAGGGTTCAGTAGAGGCGACCACTTAGACTTTGTGCAAGCTTTTGCAGCTTAAGAGTCCTGCTAATTCTTCACTCATTTTATATTGTTAGTTCCCATGGTGATACAGAAGTCCAGGTTGATAACAAGTAATCTTTGCTCAAGATGGAGGGCTTCGATATAGCGAAGGAGATGGAGGGTTTTTGCTGGCATGGCTCATGAGAGCTGAGCATGTATTACCTGATGTTGGGCAACATATGGGCCAGTAGCAGGAAAAAGGTCAACTCGACTATCTGAATGTGCAGCGATGTGTGCAGCACATTGGCAGCAACTTCAAAATGCTCGTAAAAGAATGGTCCGTGATGACGTAAGAATGGTCCGTGATGATGTAAATTGATCACGGACCATTCTTACGGTCGGGCGGTCCGCGGTGGACAACTTGTGCCAGTTTTGCGGCGGAAAGTTGTAAGGTAAAGAAGTTATGACGCAAGGTTGCCTTAGTGACACCACCTTTCTTCCAGTGACTCCGCCTCCAGACTCCGCCTTTAACACGTTGAACGACGATGTCAGACAATGGTGTCTGACAGTATATTGTTCTAATAATAAAGATGTGCAAGCAACCAAGTTTGCCGAAAACGTGTCTCTAGGGGTAGCTTGACCCTCTGAAACGAATATCACAGTCGCTTGGCACGAACTGTCTGGCGCCCGCGCCAAATACCATAAATAACCAAATTGGCTGAAAACTCATCTCCTAGGGTAGCTTGACCTCCTGAATACGAATATCACATTCGCTCTTCACGAAACTGATGGCACTTGCGCCACATGAGTAAGCGCTTAAATACTCCTAACCACCAAATTCGCTGAAAACTTGTCCCTTGGGGTTGTCTGACCCCCCCCCCCTAAATGTGAATGTCACATCTGCTCAACGAAGACTATCTAGCGCCCGTGTTACAGGCGGCGGCGCGACATGCATGCATTGAACACAGCGCGCTCCAGGCCACCCGTACGTGCTAGGGTAGTTGGGAAAACATGTGGCGAGCCAAGACAACACCCTTTCTGACTAGCAGTAATCGTTC